AAGTTGCCAGCTAACTGAGGTAAGCCTGCATCTGTCTCCAGCCAAAATATATGTAGGCTGAAAAGTTTGTCCACATGCCCCAATAATGTATCGTAACAATTTGGGCTTAGACTTTTAAAATATGTAAGATGACATATGGCTTAGGAAAGTATATGAGAGTTCATAGGGAATACATAATGATCTAGAAACTCTATTTTTGTCAATTATTTACTAAATGCTGTATGGCCTTGTGCTCAACACTGCTCAAATGTAGTACTTTCCCTTTAAGAGGCTTATAATCTAAAACATACAAATAACCATATGCAGAAAAAAAGCTAGAGATCAGAGTAAAAGGAAGCATTCACAAAAAAATGTACAAATTCAGCATGCCAGAACTTTTCAGTTGAGCAACATGATCCCCAGTGAAATTCTTTCCAAATGATGTATCGTGTGCACAAGTTATAAGTGATTATCTTCAATTTTCTTAGAAATGAGTAATAAGATACCTCTTAAGACCCATGCTTTTGTATATGCATCAAACACTGAAGTTGGCGTGGTCATTGATAGCTGTCATTTAGGGAGAAAACATATTTTCTGTCTTTTCTCATACCAGACAAATCCAGGACTCTTTTATCCCAGATCGGTAATAAGCCGCCTTTTTCTAGGCTACAGTGAACAGCAAACATTGCAACTCTAAAGATGGAAGTAGCAGAATGCTCAAAAATATTGCATCAAAATATTGGATACAACCTACCAGTCTATAAGAAAAAAACACATTGCAAAACTGACACCATCTGTCTCATTTAGCATCCATCAAAATTCTTATGTCTGTATTTCCTAATGCTTCCAAAATGGAATTTGCTCCAAGAATTAAGAAACTCTTTAAGATGGCGGCCCTATTAAGAGACTTCTCCCTATCTCCCACTTCATCTCTTCAGTTCTTTTCCCTTGCCCAGGCTGGCTATTGTGACCATTTCAGCCAATTTCCTGGAGGTATTTTCTAGCCCTTTTCACCCTTTTTAATCCTACAAGTTTCCTGGGAAGCCTGTTTACTTGTATGCTCCCCCACTAGACTGTGAGCTCCTTGACAAAAGGGATTGTCTCACTCCTCTCTGCACCCCCAGCACCTATTACAGAGGCTGCCAAGGAGTTGGCAGTGTTAGACTCCTTTCAGCCCAAGGTGCCCCACCAATCATCAGCCATGTCCTCCATCAGATTGATGGCTCCCTCTAAGCACAGCTTGGTATCAGTATCAGGATTCGTGTACTATTCAGACCACATTTGAAAGAATTCTCTAACTGTTCCAAGTTAGCACACAATACAAAGTTTTTTGTATTGTTCAAAGTTTTAACAAATCACCTGGTCACCCAAATGTCTAGTGCAATCTCAGAAGAGAGAAAACCTTTCCACACCTCACTTATTATTCTCTCTCGATATTAGGACCGCTAACTGCTTCAAACTAATTGGGGAACCGCAGCTGGCAACCCAGATACGGAGGCTAGTTCTCACAGTAAAAACAACAACAACAAATACCAAACTCTCTTTGTTTCAAGCACGTTGCTTTTTATTTTTATGTTGTTTCATCTATTTCAAGAAACTGCAAGTCAATTTTGGCTGTTCAAGACTGCCTTTTACCCATACAGGCATTTGGCCTTCTGGATTGGTTCTCGCACTTTCCAAGGCCTTCCAAGGCAAGATCCCTCAATCTTTTGGGAGTTGCAACACTACCACGGTTTGTTTGATTTTCTCATTTCCACCCATCCCTTACGCTACCCCCCTCCCCTGACAAAAGTGGTGTATGGCATTCATAAAGTGAATTACACTTGATTTTTGTTTAGAGGAATTTTTTTCTAGACTTCTGTAACATTCCCTTGAGACAACTGGAAACATCATTGTCTGATTACTAGCTCACTTTCCTTGCCTAAAATTGTATCCATTCTTGATTGCGCCTGTGGGTAGGTTAAGCAAAACAAAATAAACATCTAGACTTATGAGCTCATTGGCTTTTTTCTGAATTTTGCTAAATTAAATAAGGGCAAAAGAGCTGTACTGAAAGTCAGTTATATGGATTTTTCTGCCAAATGCTAACTCTGTGCGCCTGGTTTCCATCTGTGGTGCTTTCCAAGTTACAAATCCTTAAAAAAATAAGTGGGGTATGAAGAGATCTATGGATTTTGGGGACATGCTATTTAGAACTGCTATCCTGTGACTTGAACACTCCAAAAGAAATGGGAACATGAGATTTTAAGGCTTTAGATCAGCTTTGTGGAAGTCTAGTGTAGTCCTTCAGCACCAGTGATTTATTTTTTAGGCTGGCTTGTCTCAAATGCCATTTAGTCTCATCCATATCCGCATAAGAAATGTACCTTATTCAGGCTAACCCAATTCTGCTAATGGCCAAAGTTAGCCGTCAATCCCAAATGCCCCCCCTAAGTGAAACAGGACATTCTTGAGGATTTCTCCTTACTGTGACTGAATCTCATTTGATCTGGGACAAAGAAAGCTTTAATGCAGTTAATATAGTACAGCAGGCAAACTGAACGTGGCTTAAAATATGGATGTGGAGGGGGAAAGTCAAGCGGTCATCGTGGTGGTTCATAATTATCAAATAATTTTCAGCTCTCTTTCAATTTCCAACCACTGAACGACAGCAGCAAATTATACATTCATTCACTTCAAAATTATGCACTTACCATTGTATTTAGTCTGCCATTATTGTCTCTTCCCTAAAATACTGATGCGCTCTTTCCACACACGAACATTAGGATTTTCACATTTTCCATATCTACAGTGACCATATTTGTCCCACTAAAATTCAGGACACATGGTTTCATGCCAGGGCAGAGTATTAGAAACCTGCACTGCCCCTGGAAAATCCAGGATATATAATGGTAGCTGTATGAGGATCACCATATTTGAAGTTTGGCTTGGCTAGTGCAAGTCAGGACAGTGCCTGCCATGTAGAAGGTGCTCAACAGTGTTTGTGTTTGTTAAATAGAACTGAAGCAGGGAATGTTGGGTTTATATGATGAAAACCCTTGAAAAGTGATTTCTCCTATAGAGTTTGTGAAATAGCAGAGGAAAATGAAAAACCTTTATTACAAATCCCTCTTCTCTATAAGTGTATGGCTATCCCTAGGCCTAAAGGGAGGGAAGGAGCCCAGGCCAAATCTCATACACACAGTGTGTGGGCCCTCCCAATACTTTTATACAGATGCTGCAAAGAGGCAGGCAGCCAGAGAGCTGGGGGAGAGCGAGGGAGGGCGATTGCCTGCAGGAGTGTGTGTGGAGAGGGGGGTTGCTAAATGACTATCTGTGCTTTCCTCTGGCCTTTTTCTTCTTTTGGGCACCATCTTTACCTCCTGGCTTTGAATCAGCCAAATGTGGCCCCAACCCCAACCCTGGGCCCATTCGTCTTGTGGGGGCTCAGCCTGTGAGGACCAATTTTTACATTACCGACAAAAGCATGTTCTCTAGCCTTAACAATCTAATTACCATGGCACTTCCAGGGGAGAGAGATTCGCCAGTTGTTTCAGTTCTGTGGAACTGATTCATAGGTTGCCCCTTACAGCTCCTGCATATGCCCACGTGGTACATTATTAACACTTAACAGTGGATGAGGTAGTTCGACCCTCCCTTAGAGCGAAATCCTGCAATGCAATATTTAACATATGCGCAAATGCATTTCAGTCACCAAAAAGGGTGACCAATTACCTTTGCAACTAAACAGCAGGCTCACTCGGCTCTTTTCATCAACCTAAAGAAAAGGCTGAGGGCGCGCTGGCTGCCTAGGTAACCTCCTACCAGTGAACGCTGGCTGGTAGCGCCCACGGGGCGCGCATCCGCATTCACAACTTGGTCCAACCATCGGGCCCGCCTCCATGACTTGTTGAGAGCCACCAGCCAAGTTTTGGCTAGGGCTGCTCCCCGATCCCTGGGAAGCGCGGGACGCGCGCCTCACTGGATGCCTGGGTTGAGAAGAGACCCCGGAGGCCACAAACGTCTCACGGTTACGGAATACAACTGGCCGTTTCTTCTCAGTGCACCCCTGACAAATTAACCTGTTTGAAACCGACTCTTCTTGTCCGCATTGTCAGTGTAGCTACTTGGTCTAATTGGATTCTAAGGCGGGCGTTAGGAGCCCAACCGCTGGACAGTCAATCACGCAGGGCCATTAATATTCATCTGTTGACAGCGGCAGCCTTCCGCTAATGTTAAAATACGTCGTTACGGCACGATCTGATTGTGCAGAACAAAAGGCAGGCGTTCAGAAACTTTCCTCCACCTAAAATCATCTCCCCTTTAGGATCCAGCCTGTCAAGAAGGCAGATGAATTTGGGAGGGGGAGGAGTTAAATTTCTTTGGACTCCGGCTCCCTGGGCCAGCAGCACCGGTTTTAAAGCGATTTCGCTAACCTATATAAGGGATGCTGTTTTGAAGGAAAAGGTTCAGTCCTCCTCATTTTGGGGACCCTCTTATTCAAAAGTTTGCCTCGGTGTGTCTTCACCCGCCACTGCAAATTCAGAAATCTGTCCTCAACTTTGCTTGCACTTGGGCCCAGGCTTAGGAAACCCAGGCTGGGTAAAGGAGGGCATGGGGGGCACGCTGGGGAAGGGACGGCTGGAGCTGTGGTCTAGCTAAGGCTGAAATTCTGACACGTATGTGCGAGCAAGGATGGCAAATTCCCGAGGCACCAGCTCGGCTGCGGGGCGCCAGTTCGCAAAGACCCGGGAAAATAGCTCCCACCTTCTCGCCCTTCCAAAAAAACAGGCGCTCACGAGAGGGCGATCCCCACGTTTCCTCCCGCTCACACCTTCCCTGACAGCAGCGTGAGACTGGGGTAAGTGGGCTCCGTCCACACACACCCTCTCTCCCTCCCTCAGTAGATCCAGCCAGGCCCCAGGCACACCGACCACTCCCAAGTGCCCAGCTGCAGGGCGCACGACTACAGCCCGGCGGGACCACCACGCGCCCCTTGCTCCCCGCTGAGTGCGGGGAACGCTCAAGGGACCCCTCCTCACCTGGCACGGGAGTTTCGGGCACCCACTTGAGTCCGGGCTGCAGTCTCTGGAAGAAGGAGCGGACTTGGTGACAGGTGGCGTCCGGCGGCGGCGGCGGGGGCTGCGCCTGTCCCGGGAAGTCCAAGCTGAGCAGCATCGCCACCACCAAGCACGCGGTGCGCATGGTCCCGGCCATCCTGCTTCGCAGGGAGCTAGGAGAGCGCGGGAGAGTGGCAGCCGGAGCGAGAGCAGTCCCAGGACTCGGCAAGCCTGGCAGTGGCCCTGTGGAGCAAGAGACGTGCTGCTACCCAGCCGCTGCAAAAGTTTCCTCGCAGCTACCTGGGCGCTGGGCGAGGGCGGGAACCGCTTGGCGGCGCGGGGCAGGGCGGGGCTGA